GCATAGCAGATGGTGAAGAATAATGGTTGAATCAGCCCAATCACCTTTGTAAAGCCACATGTATCCCATCCCTGCTCTAAATATCTCCTTCACTCTGTCTGTAGCTGAGATGCTGAGCCCAAACAACTGCTGAGAAAGGAGGGAGATCTCAACAGTTTGGATTCTGAAGGTGGCAGCCACTTTGTAAGGATTTGGGTAGAAGCTCTAGCCTGAGAGAATGCATGAAAAAATTACATTTTGGATTACAACTTCCATAATCCCACAGGCAGCATGGTCAATGGCCATGGTGAGGGTGTGGTTATTTAGAACCTACACGCCAACAAGGAAAAAAAAAGTAAAGTTTCCAGGCTCTAGACCAGTGGTTCCCCACCACCGGTTCCCAGATTTTTTTGGACAACATCTCCTAGAAATCCTGGCTAGCACAGCTAGTGATGAAGGCTTCTGGGAGTTTTACTCCAAGAACCACTGCTCTAGATTGAAAAGGCAGATTGAAGAAGGACAACATCCACAAGTCTGAATAGTGGATGCAACTATGAAGATGCCAACAGAGTTGCAAAGGAAAAAGTGACTTCTGGAAGGAGCAGAGATGTCCAGCGCTCCGTCTTGCCCGGTAACTTTCGATTCCTTTCAGTCGGTGACACCCGACGCTGTGGACAAGGTGCTTGATCGCTGCCGGGCCACCACCTCCTCCCTTGACCCTTGCCCAGCCTGGCTAATCAAAGCAGCCAGGCTGATAACAAAAGAATGGGCCACAGCAATAATAAATGGGTCTTTCCTTGAGGGAAGATTTCCATCTGCCCTCAAGGAGACACTCATTAGGCCCATAAGAATAGGCGGGATATATATAAATAAATAAATAAATAAATAAATAAATAAATAAATAAATAAATAAATAAATAAATAAATAAATAAATAAATAAATAAATAAATAAATAAATAAATAAATAGTGCTAGCTTAATAGGAATACAATCAGCTTCACCCAGGCTGTTCCAAGGGTTGCTAATCCTCAAGCCACAGAGGACAGGGAGAAGAGAAAGGGCTTGCTTAGACTGCAAAGATGTTTGACAGATCAGGGAATGCAGTTCAACATTAGGACAGGTAATCTGGAACATTCAGCATGAGATCGCTCCTCTTCTTTCTGATGTTCAGTCTGTGAGTGCAGTTGCTTATGTAGGCAAAACAGCAAGAGCTGGGACAACCCAAGATATTTTGCTGCCTGAAGCAAAAGTCACAATGGCATCTCCTACTCTGTCCCACATACAAAAGTTGCCTTTTGTGGGAACTGTACCTTCTTTAAGACTGCCCATGAGAGAAGCTGTGTTTCGTTGTATGGGTATACTATGTATATACTGCACTTACAATGACAATAATTTTTTTTATTTGATTTGATATATATACATTAAAAACATGCCCCTTAGGAAAAATTGTTGTGTGTTTCAGTAACACCAAGATTGGTTCAGGGAGAATGAATAATGTTAAGTGGTCATGAAATGCTGCCTATGGGGCAGGAATGGGGGTGAGAGCAGAACTGGAACAAGATGGAAATAAGGTGGCTCGAATCAGGCCCCACAGCAAGCTATGGTACAACATTTTTTTGCCATCCACACTGTCTGTTAATGAATATCTAGGACTATTTTAAATGCAATGACATAGATCTACACTATACTATATATATATATATATAGCTGCTTGGACTGCACTGAAAAGCAAAGGAGCTCTCCACCGAGCAAAACATATTACCCAAAAAAGAAGAAGAAAAGAATAGAGCTGTTCATTCTTGGAATGTATCCATAATGGACAAAGAATTCTGCAGTCAGTACTGAATAAGTAGGCAAGTACAGTCGTGCCCCGCCTAACAATTGCCTCGCTTAACGAGGAAATTGCTTTACGATGAGGTTTTGCGATCGCAATTGAGATCGCAAAATGATGGTCTAAATGGGGGGATTTTGCTTAGCGATGACGATTTATGACGATCAAAAACAGCTGATCGTCGGGTTTCAAAATGGCCACTGGCTGAAGAAAATGCCCCCCCCCCGCTGTGCTTAGGAACGGATTCCTTGCTGCACAGGCATGGAAAATGGCCGCCCCTATGGAGGATCTTCACTGGATGGTGAGTTTTCAGCCTATTAGAATGCATTAAACCACTGGTTCTTAACCTTGGGTTACTCAGGAGTTTTGGACTGCAACTCCCAGAAGCCTTCACCACCAACTGTGTTGGCTGGGGTTTCTGGGAGTTGCAGTTCAAAAACATCCGAGTAACAAAGGTTAAGAACCACTGCATTAAATGGGTTTTAATGTGTTTCAATTGGCTTCTTTATTTCGTTTGACAATGTTTTCGCTCTACAATGATTTTGCTGGAACGAATTAACATTGTCAGGCGAGGCACCACTGTAACATGTTTTAGGTTAGAGAGATCTGTGAGTTGATTCACTCCAGAAGCAACTTAGGAATGAGCATCCAGAACAGCTAGGTTTTATACTGTTTTTGTTCTTAACATACTATATTTTAATTGCCCAGAAAAGATTGAAATCTAAAGATATGTCACAGGATGCCAAGGTCGAGATCATCCATATCCTGGCACTCCTGATTACAATGCAAGAGATGGGAAAGCTGGAAAAAAATATTTAAAGCAAAAAAGCATGGTGCTTATATACCGCCCCATAGCGCTTCAAGCACTCTCTGGGCGGTTTACAATTTAATTATGCAGGCTACACATTGCCCCCCCAGCGAGCTGGGTACTCATTTTACCGACCTCGGAAGAATAGAAGGCTGAGTCAACCTTGAGCTGGCTACCTGGGATTTGAACCCCAGGTCGTGAGCACAGTTTTAGGTGCAGTACAGTGATTTAACCACTGCGCCACGAGGCTTCTAAGAATGGGAAAAGCTGACAGAAAAAAGATCATTTATTTCAAACTGTAGAGGTGAAAGTGTCTCTCCTTAAGATCATCTACCCAGGCAACCCCTTATATCTGGGCTGCGTTGTTTTGGGTAGCCACCCCTAGAATGGCCTGGAGAACTACCACTGGGCTTTCTCTGAGGTGGCCATGCTATGGAATGCGTTGACTGTTAATGTTCATCTGGCTCCCTCCCTTCAGAGAGAAGGTGAAAGCTGGGCATTTCAAAGAGGCCTTTGGCAACATTCTCCCCATGATATTCCTATGGCCCCATGCATCTTTAATTAAGAGTTTTCTCTGCCACTGCCTCTGGAACTTCTTTTTCATTTTTTAAAAATTCATTGGGTGTGTGTGTTTGGAGGGTAGTTTTTTTTATTTCTTCCTACTGTGGTTAGCTGCCCAGAGTAGTGCTGTGTCACTAAATGGGCATGATAAAAAAATAAAATAAAGCAGAGCTTTACTCACATCATGGTCTACCAGAAAGACAAGTAAGTTAGAATGCATTAAACCACTGGTTCTTAACCTTGGGTTACTCAGGAGTTTTGGACTGCAACTCCCAGAAGCCTTCACCACCAACTGTGTTGGCTGGGGTTTCTGGGAGTTGCAGTTCAAAAACATCCGAGTAACAAAGGTTAAGAACCACTGCATTAAATGGGTTTTAATGCGTTTCAATTGGCTTCTTTATTTCGTTTGACAATGTTTTCGCTCTACAATGATTTTGCTGGAACGAATTAACATTGTCAGGCGAGGCACCACTGTAACATGTTTTAGGTTAGAGAGATCTGTGAGTTGATTCACTCCAGAAGCAACTTAGGAATGAGCATCCAGAACAGCTAAATACAGCTGTTTAATTGTTAACCATGACGTCATAGATACAATTGATGAAAGATATTGTGGCGTGTTTTGTAGCAATCCACAATGTCGCTACGGACAGCCAAAGTGCCTATCAACCCAGTGGAGATGAAACAGAAAATTTCATTACTCCTTAAGCTGGAGGCAGTTCTTGGACTACATTTCATAGAATTCCCTGGCCAGCAATGTCTCCTCTCCATGCTGGTAAGGGGATTGAGGGAGATACAGTCCCAGAAAGGACAGTTCTCAAGCTCTGACAGGGAGTCTTACATCCCAAGTTTTACAACCAGGTTTATTCCTCTGTTTTGCTTTGCTAGGGATGAGGAAAACAGAATGCGTAACAAGGATTGCAGGGTGGCGGAGGCTATAAAGAGTTGAGATTTCTTGGAGAAACGAACTTGGCTGAGGATGTGAATGTGATCCAGATCTCCTGAAATTGCTAGACATAAAAAGTTCTCAGTGGATATATGCTCGTTGCAGCTTAGTGCAATTCAGAAATGTTTTATGGGCAGGACAAGCTATGCAAGTTCTGGCCAAGTATAAAGGGACAGCTCCTTCTAGCATCCATTTACTAGGTCATGACTTGAGAATGGCCAAGGTGGGGGGAACAAGAGTGGGCTCAAGTGGCTGGCGGCAGAAACCGTTTGTCAGAGGAGTGACTTAGGGAGACAGTTAAGTTGTAAGCTTTGAGCACGATGGTGCTGAAGAGATGTTTACTGAGAATGAACATTCCTATCTCCCTCTGAGTCTTTGCACTCCCATTACTTTTGGTTTATTATGGAGGCTACACTCTGGCCACAGCAAGTTGTAACATACAAACACCTACTTCCTTTCCTGTAAAATAACTCAGAAAGACACTTGTTTTCTTTCACCAACTGTACCCCTCCCCCTGGCAAATCCTACCTCTAGACTGGTACTTCGAAATACTCAACAAAGATGGAAAATCCCTGGCCCATAGCCTATAGAGGGTCCTATTGCAGCCCCTTGTCTTTTTGTACTAGGGACCCACTAACATGGGGTAAAGGTGTTGCCCTGCCCCTGATGTCCATGGCATGGCCCTACCCTCTGGCATTATGTAGCCCACAGAGGGCTCTAAGAGGGAATCTGCTCCTCCCCATAAAAGCTCCCCTCCCCACCCTTAGATTATAGCATCTAACTAGTTGATTTCCCACCCAAATAAAACACCCTCTTTGCAGGCAATTATTCCATTTCCCATATAGCTGGCAATACCCAGTATTGTCCATAGTACCCACCCAGCTACGACAATCTCGAAGTCTCCGTCCTGGTCCACATCAGTCACAGCCACACCATAATTGAGCTGAGTTGGGTTGCTGTCATAGTCAGGGGGGAGGATTCGATCCGTCACCGCTGTGAACATGGGTTCACTACGTTGGGATCCTTCACCAGGCCAAGCCAGAACCAAGCTCCACAACAGCAGCCATCGCAGCCTTGGCACCTATAAACAGAGAGGCATGGGGCTATGTCAGTCATGATATTCTCCCCCATCTGTTTTAGCATCTGGAGAATTCCTCCATTTCCATACATGAATCCTGGGTCCCATTCCTTTCTCCATATCAATTCCTGATGAGATATTCCCATATGTGATAGGGCTCTGTGGGGGAAGATCCTTTCAACTCTTTTCATTTAGGTATAGAAGAGAATAGAGTTTGGAAAGGTTGTTATATTGGGTTATGTAATCCCCTCCTCTCAAAAAAGGAATATCCCAGGTCTTGGAAGAGAACACGTCTAATTTGGGTCTGGTCTCAGATGCCATAAGCATTTCAGAATTTCCCCAGATCTCCATCTGTGACAGATTGTAGATCTAGAAAAAAAAATCTCTGCCTTTTGTCCATTTCACTGTTACTTACCTATACAAATAGTTTTTGGCAATGATCTGATACAGCCCAGACCTATGGCCAGGCTGGGCCATAGTCTGTTGGGTTTTGAGAGTTGAGGCTTGCAGGAATGTGAGATCTGTGGCAGGTTTGAACTGGTGCCCAAAGCAAAAATGAACAGACCCTAAGGCTGATGCAAAATATCGAGGTTTTGTGACCCAAAGTGAATTCAGCTGTCTCACAGAATTTACATTGGGATGCAAAACCAGTCTTAGAGCTCCATGTTCTAGCAGAATTAAAACAAAAGGACACTGGATTAGACCTCATATTTACCCTTCACTTCTCAGAACTTTGATAGGGAGGGGGAGGAGATCCCTAGCAGACAGTCCTTCAAGCAGAACGACCCCTCTTTCCCCTTTGACTGCATCAAATGGAAGCAGATGACTCCTTCCCTGAGCTGGAAGGCAGGAGGGGAGAGCAGCTATAAAACAGCATTAGACAACTAGAGCACAGCTTTTGTTCATTTTGAAGCTCTGTCATCACAATAGAAGATAGCATCTGTAGCCTTTTGGGTTGTGATCATGAAGTAAAATAGACACTAGCAGAAAGCCAATACACAAAATTAAGCAGGGGCAGGATAGATAGGGATTTAGAATATTTAGGAAAGTGAATAGACCATCCCTACCCTGACACTATCAGTGGGACGAGACTGCACCACTCTCACTGCAATATTGTTATAAGGATTCCAGGTCTGCTGATCTAAAATCACCATGCTAGCTAGATTCAGAGCTCAGAAAAATTACTCTTCTTGGACTATAACCCCATGAATTCCCAGTCAGCTTGATCAACTCTGGCTGGTGGCTTCTGGGAGCTATAGTCCAAACCCTGTACCTTTCACAAGCATTGACTAGATTGAAGCAAGAGTCCTTCCAGTTCAACCTTCTGCTTCCAGAGGTAGCCAGCCATATGCTGTGAGACCACCGCAAGCATGGCATTATGTTAACACCTATGCCCTGTAGTTTGAATCCATCAATCAGAGGTACACTGTACTTAATCAAGGCAGCTCCATATGGAGTATCAAAGTAGGTAAACATTATTATTTCGTTTCACTTTATCCTTAAGACAAAGAAGGTGTTGAGCTGGCAGTGGACTTCTTAAACAGCTGCCACAAGAAGGACATGAGACAAAGACACATTGCAGTCTTTGTAAAGTATCCACACTTTTTACTGTATACATCCAGACCTCCAGTGAAGTGAGTAAGGATATTCTACATTAACGCTGACTAAAGGCTTTGAACAACCCAAGATATTTTGCCACCTGAGACAAACAACATGAGTGCTGTCCACCTCCGGTTCTACATGAAGTAATAAACTGAATAGGAACTGAATCTTGCTTCAGCAGTTAAATTTGTAATTGGATAAGGCTCTCTGCTAGACCTGAGGGCATCAGGCTAGTTCAGGAGATGGAGGACAGCTCACGTATCTCTATTCTCCCAGAAAAAGGAAACGTCTGCATAGCTGCTCTACAACATCTGCTGCCTGAGCTGGCTGCCTTACTTGGTCAAGTAATGATGTGGCTGGATCAGTCAGAGCCATCAAGGTTAGTCCTTTCAGCAGGAGACTGCAACCACAAGAATGCACACTGAACCTTCCTACTGGATAATCCATCAGACATCTACCACAAGGAGAGGAAGGGCAAACAAGGCACTCTGCAGCAGAGGACCTCTTTCTAGTCCAAAGTCTAGTTTGGCAAATCTTTCAGATCAGGTCAGGTCCACCTTCATACAGTTGAAGGTACACTGTTTACAATGAGATTAGATAGCCCATATAACTTGTTAAGACCCCCCCCCACACACACAACCCATTTATACACACCACCGTGATGGTCAAAGTCTAGAGACAAAGCTGGTCTGAGGCAAAGACCAACAGGAGAAATTAACCTCCATGGTAGCAATGGGACTGTGTTCTCCATCACTTTGGGGGACTGTGTTCTCCTGAAGGCAGCAAAATAGCTTAGGAGTTGCCAGGCTGGCTGCAGGGTGGGCACAGCTCTCTCCATCAAAGGAGAATTGCTGGGATTGGGCACTGTGACACCCGCCCTCCAGCCTGAAGCAACCACCTAAAGGTGGGGCCAGCCTCAGCAAAGGAGGCACTTCATTACTCTGTTAGCGCTGACACATGGGAACTCTTACATTTTATATTAGGCAGCATCTCTTTTTTCCTGAGACTGTCAGCTTAGAATATTCTTATCATCAGTACTATAGGTTAGAATCAATACTGTCTTTAAAGTCTCTGGGGAAGAGTGGAGGGGGAGTGAATCCCACACTCTCATCATGCTTTATCTATCTTGATAGTATGAATAAATGGTAGTCAAAGCACATTATGGCGTATGTGATCTGTCTTGGGAACATTCTTGCAGAGAATCTGTTGTTTGCTCTACTATTGGCTTTCTGAGATTGCCCAGGCCTCTTGTAGCAGGACCTTGAGTTCTCAACTCCAACAAACAGATCTACTGCTAACTTTTCAATCCACCCCATTAAGGCTCTGTTGTGGAATATCCAAGGAAACATTTCTGCATGGCTCCAGTCTGTTCCACAACAATTTCTCCCATTTGACTCCAACAAGATACAATGGTGTAGTAGCAGCCTTGGAAGTATCTCAATGACCCATACTGGTTACATGTATACGGCGCCAGAATCAGATGCATCCCCAATTTATTCTCCTCCTGGCATAACGCCACCCAGACACTGCTAGCTTTAAAAATGGCCCGAATCACCATATGCTCAGAATTACTCTCTGTAGGTAGAATCGGTGGTGTTTATTCAATTCATCATGTTTTATGGTAGAGCTGGGGGCAATGTGGATTTTGCCATATAGCCAGAAGGGCTGTATAATGGACACCACTGAGCTAAAAGCTTCGCTGAGATTACTGCATTCCTGATAATGTAAAAGGGGAGCTTCTGTTTCAGATGACTGTGCTCACAGTCATGATGCACCCTGCTAGGGACCATCCTGTTCCATCCTGTTTTGGAAACAAACCAGAACTTGAAACAGCTAACTTTTGGACTACAATTTCCAAAATCTTTAGTCATGGTGACTGCAGAATTATGGGATCTGTATTCCCCCACCCCCATCCCCATCCCCACCCCTAAAAACAGCACTTCTTAAGATTTGCTCATCTCTAGCCCTTATCTTGGAAACAGTCTCCAGAGGATATTTGTCAGGCAATAGATTCCTCTAGGTCTGGGGATTATGCAGAAAGTGCAAGAATAGAATGCATCTTCCATGTGTTCTGCCACAGCAAAGCAATCCATCAACGAGAGCAAGCAGTTTGGTTGCCAGTATCATCTTCCAGTTTAGACCCAGATTAACTTGTCATTATACAAGCTTCCACAAAGAGAGAATGGTAACAGGTGCCTGGTGACAAAGATGGTATATTCCAACACTGGGCTCTCAGTGTTTGGCTGAGGCTAATTAAACTCATACATCAGTGAGCATTCCTAGATAGATCATTAGGGAAATGGTCATTAATTAAGATGCCTTTCTAAACACACATACACATTCAGAGCTAACACCTGTGCATAGGCAGTTAAGCGGACAGATACACGGCTGAGCCTTGTAACCTTTGTTTTTCTACCTGGAGACTCTCAGCTTTCCCAACAGAACTTGGATGACCTGACTTCTACACTCCTGCCACTATTATGTCTACTCCAAGTTTGCTTAACATATGATAATGGCATCACGGAGGAAATTTTTCCATGTAGAAATTTTGTGTGGTGATGGAAACTGGTGTGGCCCATACACATGGGGTTCCCTTTCCCATAATGTGGATGAATCATTAAGCTACTACTGGATAGCAGCTGAGGAAAATCACACAACAAAAAACAAAAACACATGTGTATTGAAATTACAAATTGCAACTTACATCTCTCCTGCCCTGAAATTCCTATATGAAAACCACTATTTGGCAAGAATCGTGCAAAGGGAAAGACAGAAAGAATATTTATTACTTCATTTGTCTAACTGATTATCTTGAAACTCAGAGAAGGAGCAAAATTGGTAACAGAAGACAAAAGTTAATGATTCAGGGTATTAGGTAGTTGCTTCTATTTCTGGCATCCCATTCTCTATTTCTTTGGCCACATGCAGCAGAAGCCTGGCCCCTCTGAGCCGCCTGGCCTCTGTAGGCTGGGGAGAGGAAAGAGAACAAAAATCTGCCATGAGTTTGGACAGAGTAAAGGAACATTTCCAAAAGCAGAGAGTGTCTTTTCCATGCTTGGGCTGGCCATGTATAAAACTTCATCTGCTCATAATGGGATTGTTTGACCTTTTTCTGTGTCTCTTCTGGTCAATGGGGAATAGAAAGTGGACCAGACATTCCCAGGCTCCGAATCCACTTTGTTTTTGCATCAGATTAAGCTCAGAACCAAGTCAGGCAGTATGGCAAATGCCCGCTCAGACTCTACAGTACAGATTTGCTTTTCAAGATGCCCTTGGCAGCTGGGGAAAAACAGCAGCAACCATTGGTCGCCATCTTTTTCCAGAGATAGGCATTGATGGAGGTTCCCTCCATGACTTTGTGACCTACACACTACTACTACTTATTGCAACAGTCAGCCACATCTTAGGCAAAGAATCCATTATGGAGGAGGATGCTCACTGTGCCCTGCACTGCAGCCAATTTGCCCCAAGCAGCAAGCTGGGTGGTAGATGGATCCCTTTCCTCCATATGTTGTGTAATGTGCCTGAGTCCAGTTTTTGCGAATCAAAAGTTATCATGGTGATAAGATGTCAGGTCCCAAGCAGCTGAAAACCATTTTAAAGCAGTGGCCCTGGTTCACACATTCGTGCAAAGAGGAAGGCCCCGGGGCTTGGGCAATGTTAGCAGCCATGTTTTTCTATGTCCTTCATGTGCCTGAAGGGTGTGGTTGATTACGCTGCAACATGTACCCATCTACGCAGCAACAGTGAAAACAGATACATATAGTTCTGCCTCAAGGGGCAGATATTGCTAGAGTTTTAAAGGGAATTAGCGGGTCCATTTGGGGAACAAGAGGCTTCCTCTATATGCAGGGCTACAATAATCCCTGAGCTTGGAAATGTATCTTTATTGAACTTTAGCACCCAGGAACTGGGGTGTCCTGGGAAGCTACTGTTCAAAAGGTCACTTTTTCAAGCTTTGGAAACACAGCTTCGATAACAGCCCTTGTGGTACCACCATTTCCAACATAAGATGCATCCCTCTAAGCAACCTCACAGGGGGATTTCTTCTGCACTAATGAGGACTAGTGACACTACTAGCTCTCAGTGCCATATCCAAATGCATTCTCATATCTTGCTCAGTGACATCATAACAGTGCAGCCAATGAACTGCAGTAATATCAAAATAAGCTGGAAATATCCTCCGATGTAGAGCCACCATATTATCTTCCAAAGTAAAGCTATGGCAAGCAGTGCAGGTGCAAAGGGATCCAGCAAGTCAGGAGCACGGTATCATCACATGAGGGTTTGAATCCTGCTCACACCTCTCAGGTTTACTTCTGGCTCTGGTTCTATGCATCCCTCCACCTACCACCCAACCCCGCAGAGTTCCTACTGAGAAAAAAAAGCTACTGTCCTGGGCTGCACTGCTGTCTTTCTTCAGCCCACAAACATCAGCCCTTCACCTGCATTAATGCTGCAGGATGTTGGGTCTCTCTTCCCTGCAAAAAAACTCACAGGGCTCCGAACCACAGGGCTTTGTGGCAGCAGCTACAGGACCCCCTGAGTTCTACTTTTAACTTGGTGCCACTGTGTTTGTGCCCCACTGCAGGGGGGGGGCAGCCAGCCCAAAGCTGGGGCACAGCCAGCAGCACCAGCAGCAGCAGCGGGTGCAGTCTGGAGACCGGCAGTCACCTAAACAGCAAACAGACCTTGGTACCCTTGGGATGCCTCTGCTTGCTGCTGACTGCCGTGGGGTGAGCCCTCAGAGGTGGTGGTGGTGGTGGGGACAGGCGCCTTCCTCAGGCGAGAGAGAGCTGGAAGACAGCGGCGATGGGCAGAGCGCCACTGTCCAGCGGAGAGGCGCCCTCCACAACTCCCTCCCGGCCCCTATTTCTCAGCACAATCCAAGCGCAGCAGGGTGCTCCCTCGGCTCCCGCTTCCTTCCAGCATCCTTCTCCTTCCCCATTTCTTCCGGTCCCCAGGCATCCTCGCACCGCCCCTCCCCGCTCGCTTCACCATCCTAACCCGCGCTTTCTTCTCCATCTGCACAAGTTCCGCCTGCCTGGATCTCAAGATGTCACTTAGGAAGAGGAAGAAGAGGGCAAGTCGTCCTCCTGGGTCCGGGTCCCCTCTCCGTCTCCTTCGCCAACTTTCCGTCTCCACCCAAAAGTCTCCACTTCTTTGGGAAACTTTGCCGCGTCTGACGTTCGCAGTTCGACGGGAGGGGGGTCAGCTTTTACTCACCGGGCAGGTAGGATGCCAGGGGAGCTCCATGCCTGCCAGCTGGCCGCCACGCAGCATCCCGGGCTGGCCGGCGACCGGGCCGCTCAGATCCCGTGCGGACGCCCGGGGCTGCTGGCGCGGCTGCTCGTTCCGATCTTGGCGTGCTCTCCTCCTCTCTCTGTCTCTGCGTGTAAGTAGTAGCCGCGTGGAAGCCGCTCTCTCCAGCCCGGGCAAGTCCGGCGAAGCGAGCGCCTCTTTAAGTAAAGCCTTGTGTCCCAGAGGCGGCCAATCAGTGCAGCCTGAGCAGAACCGGGCACCCAATGGCAAAGCCGGGAGGTGGAGCCCCCCTGGCACTGATTTACTACCTGGAATTGCAGGGGAAGCGCGGCCAGGCAGCGCCGATCAATACGGAGCCAAACTGTGACGGGCGGGGATGTTGGGCGTGTATCAGAGAAGGGTGTGCAGGAGAAGAAGAAGAATGAGGAGGAGGAGGAGGAGAAGAAGAGCGCCAGCAGGCTTCAAGAGCACGGCCGGTAACCTTCACGAGGAAACAGACTTTTCTCTGTCCAGGAGGGGGTCCACCACTCGATCAAGCCTAGCCAGCTGCCCGGGCGACACGGCGAAGGCACAAAGGAGAAGCGAGCGCAGGGCACGACGATCCGTCTCTCCCCACCCCAACACACCCACCCGGCCAAGACCCACACGACCGCCCCGCTTCTCCTGCGCCTCCCAGCTCACTAACTGATCCAGGAGCCGGGCAGGCGATAAGCACCCGTTCCGTCCTGGTCTTGTTTTCTGTGGCGTGGAGAGTAGCGGCGGCAGCGCCGGGAAGAAGAGGAAAGCGCCCCGTCTGTCCGGCGGGAGGAGGAGCGGAAGGCCGCCGCCTCGGGGGTCGTGGGAGCGCGGTGGGCGTGAGACCGAGGGAGCCAGAGGCAGGCCCGAATGGGTCCGCGAACCGCGGTGGTCGCCTTGGGGGCGCAGCAGTAGCTCCTCCCCCTCTTCATCCAGGCACCAGCCCCGCCCTTCCTCACTCGCCCCTGTGCCCAAAATCCCCCCCCGGGTAGGCGCCCCACATTTGTCTCCTTGCCTCATCGCCGGTGGAGGATGCGACGAGGGGGTAAAGGTGGGCGTCAACCCGGAAGATTTTTGGCACAAGGGAAAGCGGGAAGAGTCTTTGGCGGGGGGGGGGACCTCAGAAACACCGCGCCTTCACCCCCCATCCCTTAAGGCAACCACTCCCGCCTCCTACGAGAGCTTGACCTGGCGCGTTGACTGCTCCACCAGCCTGATTCGAGGCGGGGAGAGGAAGGGCAGGGATACCACTCCGATCCTTTCTGTCTAGGAAATGGGAGAGTATTGTGTGGGTGTGGAAGATGGAGCAAAGTTGGCCAGCGGGTTCTAGCAGGAGACCCCCCCTTCCCTGCTTGACTGACCGTTATATCTCTCCCCCCCTCCCCTCATATTCTGCCTCTGGCTGGTCAAAACCTTTCTTTAGGGAAAGGATGGGCTGCCAGCATCAAGCTCTATGTGAAATCCACCCCACTGGTCCAACAGGGCATCGCAGCTGGGACATGGGGTACCTTCTCTGGGCATACCTGTTTGGGGCAGTTCTGTGCCAGCCATGTTCATGGTGTCAGATGGGACGGGCCATCTTGAAGAAGGTTATAGGGAAATTTGCTTGGTACGTCTGTGTGTGTGTGTGTGTTGAGGAAGAGACTTACAGAAAACCTCTGACATAAGGATTCATTTTATAAACCCTTGCTTTTGCAACCCTTCCAATATTAGCTTATTCCTCTCCTTCGAAATTCACTTATATGACCACACAGACAGTTGTAAACATGAACATTTGGATTACCAAGCATATGATAGCAAGAGGGCAGATGAGGGGTGGAAGTTGGAAGGGAATGCCCACCTGGCAAGCTAAAGAGAGAAGGCTGAGGCAGGAAAAGAGGGAAAATAGCATCAGTCTCATTTATTGTTATTGTTACGTGCCATCAAGTCACATCCCACTTATAATGATCATAATCTGGTTTTGGAGACAAGTGAGTTATTTAAGGAGTAGTGTCAAGTCCCCATTGCCTGAGTTCATTTATAAAGCATGGAAATTCTCACGGAACGAAACGCCTGTTTTAGCACTGAGCTTAATGGGAAAATAGAATTTGACTTGCAGCAGGTCACTTTACTGCTGTTGTCAGGGAACCAGTTAGGCGGTAAGTGTTAGGCTGCTGTATTCAGGAGCCATCCCAACTGGATGTAGACAGGTCACTCTTTGTGGTGTAGCAGCTGGAGGGTAGGGCACTCGCACTTGGGAGGTGCAAATTCAAATCTCCACTGAACTGTGCTGGAGGCATTCAACAGAAGATTGGACAGCCATCTGCTTTGATTGGAATTCCTGCACTGAGCAGGGACTTGACCTCGAAGGCCTTATAGGCCCATTCTAACTCCATTATTTTATGACTCTACAATTCTGGATGACCTTTGGCCGAGTCATTCTTCCTCCCAGCCTGACCAATAACAATGTTACTGTGAAGATAAAATAAGGAGAAAGAAAGTCATGTATGCTACCTCGAGCTACCTGGAGGAAAAACACAGATACAAATGTATAACAACAACAACGATGATGACAATGACAATGGATGATGATCATGGAGCAGCCTGACTAGGATATCCACTAGTCTTAGAAGACTTTATAGTTGTATAAAGTAACAAAGATGTTACTTTGACTTATGAGAGTGAATAAATAAATGGGACTTGTTAGTCAACACTGACATAAATCTTACTGATTTCAGTTAGTCTGTACCAGTTGGCATCACACTTGGATTTAACTTTGAAATTTTACTTTGTTCTTATTGTTCTATGATTTTCCCCACCAGCAAATCTGGTGGAAAATGTGTGCGTTGCAGACTACCAAAGATGCAATATGTTTAAAATATAATGATGCAAAGATGGGGGTTTTGTAACCAAGAGTTCTTGGACTGCTTGGCTTGGTGCAGATTTGGGCAGGAGGACCACTAAACTCACATTTTGCAGTGGAACGAGCACATTTCCCTTTCCCCAGTATCTACGGGACAGATTTATGGGTTGATACATCCCAGTATCTTTGGATTGCCTCCTACAACTGATTAAGATGACATTTCTCAACCTAGGTTCTAGGAATTGTTTCCTAGGGCCAAATACAGTCATGATTCTTGGAGATAGTCCTGGATTTCTCCAATTTTTGACTGAAATATATGATGCCGAAGAGTGTAGCAGCTGTAGATTAACCTTGAATTTTTTTCTGCTGTTGGCTTGCACTTTGGGGAGGAGAATCGGAGGCATTCCAGAACATTTCCAGTGTAGTTGTTCCTGCTGTATGGGAACAAGATTAGTGGCCCAAATCACCTGCCAAATAGGTGAAGTTTTATAATGCCTTTCTTATCCAGATGGCAGCTGTAAGACCCACAGGAGCAAGGCAAAACCTAGGAGAGAAAGAGATATAACCAATGGAACATTTCAAAGTAAGCATTTAGATTACTTTGACAACTTTGCAAAGATGCAGATTATAGCTAGTATGTGGTTTTATGTATGGTTTTATGTCCATCTTTTCCAACTTTCATGTAAGAGCAAAAGTGGAGGAATGCCTCTGGGGAGGAAGAATACAAAGCGCAGAAGACAAGGATATGGAAGAATGTGACACAGAGAAAAAGAATTATAAAGAGATATACTTTGGAGTTACAGAATCAATAGCAGGTCCCATCCATGACTGGAGTCACTGAAATAAGCCAGGAGTCCAAAGCCCTTTCCACAGAGAGCAGTTCTGAGCCACTGGCTCACAGACAACAGTCCCAAGCTATCTCCATGGATGGTCTCTCTGAGCAGCTGGAAAAGGGGCAACAAATAGCAGAAAATGTATATATGAAGGATACTGCAAATGGAAGGATTCCTGCCACTTCCTAGAGGAGGAGAGATGTGTGGTTGAAATAGTGGACTGCTTACTGATGGGGCAGATGTGCAACTTACAGACATGACAGAACATCTTGAGGGTGTGCTTTCTCCCTGATGTGAAAATCCATCACCTGATAGAGAAGTTGCTAAGACTCATCAAGTACAATGACCACCATCTCTTCCTTCTGATACATGTGGGGACAAATGATGCTATAGACATGGCCTTCAGCATGTTTCAAGTGACTGTGAGTTTCTGGGTAGGAAGGACCTTGGGCATAGGTGGTTTTTTTTCTAGCCTTCCTTCAACAGTTATGGCCCAGGAAAAGAGAGAAAAATGCTGAAAGTTAGCAACTGGTCTGAAATCCTGTTGCTCAGCTTAGTACATCATAGAGTAGGACCATTAAATTAGTGGGATTCAGCAAGCCAACTCTCCATAAGTTCCATTAATTCAATAGCCCTACTCTGGTACAATTTATACACTAAGGAACAGGATTTCAGCCATGGTATTGTCAAGAAAGGTTTGGCTTCTTGGACCACCAATGAGTAGAGCATAGGAAACAATCAATATGAGCTCCAGCTCTTAATATGGAAAGGCAAATACGATGTAATTGGTGTTACTGAAACCTAATGGGATATACTCATGACTGGAATGTAGTGGTAGAAGGGTATAACTTATTTTAAAGGAAAAGCCTAAACAGGAAGTGAGAGATCGATCACTAAAGAAGAGTACAAATGTAGCAAATATTTGTAGAGATAACATTAAGAAGGCTAAAGGTGAATAGGAGCTCAGACCTGCAAAGGAGATTAGAAACATAAAGGGGAAGCTATTCAAAAAGCAAGAGGAAGGACAAGGAAACAGTAAGCCTTCTGCGTGGAGTAGGTAGAAAAAGACTAATGACCAACAGAGAGAAGGCAGAACTGCTGAATACCACCATTGTCTCTATCTTCTCCCAAAAGAAAAGCAGTGCTCAACCCCATGCACGTAGAATAAATCGGAAGGCAGGGGGCTGTTGCCAAAGAGAGGCAAAGAAGTGATACAGGAACATCTAGCTACCTTAAATGAATTCAGATCTCTTGAGCCAGAGGAACTGCATCCAAGGTTACTAAAGGAACTTGCAGATACAGTTGAAGAGCACCTGCCTATAATGTTTAAGATTTTTTGGAAAATAGGTGTCGACCTGAAAGGCTGGAAGTGAACAAATGTCATCCTCACCTTCAAAACGTTGGGGGTGAAGATAAGAAGGTCCAAGCAACTACTGACTGGTCAGCTTTTTCTGGAACAGATATTGAGC